AAGATAGCTACGCCAGCCCTAGACAGCTCTCCCCAACGGGGAATCTCACTAGCCTCGGGGAACTGCTGACGCCAAGCGTCCGTCAGGCGGCCAAAGCAGCGCTGGGTGGGGTGGGCACCCCCACACTGCTCACCCGCGCGGTCGCCGGAGCGAAGGACGTAGGTGCACGGACCAAAACCCCCACCCCGCTGACGCTGCGTGTACCACTCACGGAGCTGCTGGGGCGGGGGGATGTCCCGCGAACGCTGCTGCTGCTGCTGCTGCTGCTGCTGCTGCTGCTGCTGACGCTGGCCACCACCAGAGCCGCTACGCTGCGGGGCACCACCCCGACCAGCTACACCCCCTCCGCCACCGCCGCCTCCACCTCCACCACCACCGCTGCCTCCGCTCCCACCGCTGGCGCCACCACCGCCTCCTCCTCCGCTGCTGCCTCCGCCACCACCGCCCCCGCCACCACTCCCACCGCCACCCCCACTCCCTCCGCCGCCTCCACCGCCACCTCCACCGCCCCCGCCAGTTTCACCCGCGCCCTTGCCCCCCTTGCCCCTGCCAGGGCGGCGTCTCCCGCTAGGGGCAGACGCCGCGCAGACCGACTCAAGACCAAGCAGGTCGGCAGCAGCAGCAGAGGCAACAGAGGGCAGCAGGGGGGAAGGAGAACACCCCTCAAAGATGGGGGTGCGAGGTTCACCACGAGAGGCTCCTACAGCGACGATGCTCTTCTCCGCCGCCAGGAGGGACTTCTCGAGGAGGTCGACAGTGAGAGTGGTGGGACAGACTGAGAGGAAGTGGTCCCTGACTACGTGAAGGGAGTCAGGGAGGCGTGTGACTATGTAATAGAGAGTGATGTACATGGGGGGGGGGTTCTTGGCGCAGAACTCAGCAGGAAGGGCGGCACGGTAGCGAGTGTCACTAGTGCGGAGGTGCGTAATGAGGTCAGCGACAGTGGGAAAGGCAGCAAGGTCAGGAAAGAGGTACGGTAGCATGAGGCGGCTAAGGGCAGCAGTGGCAGGGGAAGAGTAGCGCGCAACTACAGCGTCGTACAAGGTCTGAGCACTCTTGTACTGACTAAAGTGCGCGCGCTCAGTGGTAGGCAGGTGGCGACGCACAGCAAGACGTGCAGCAGCATCGCGGGTGGCCCACTGAGAGCGAACAGTGGGGTCAGCATCAGCAGCAGGGGCAGGAGAGGCGCAAGAGGTGAGGTCAAAGAGGGAAAGACCGTCCGCCCTATCGCACTGTAAGAACAGCTGCAGGTCGTCGACCCAGACCTCAAAGTCAATGGCTCGACCCTCAGCGTCAAAAGCGAGGACACTAGGGGTAGCCATGACGACGACAGTGTAGTAGTGCAAGCAGTAGGGGAAGGGCACGCAGTAACAGTGGTGCTGTGCTCACCAGGCAGGGCAGGTCGGGCGACTCGGCAGTAGGGCGGCCCGGCGACTGGGCGGCTCGGCGGCTCGGCTGCTGGGCGGCTCGGCTCCCGGGCGGCTCGGCGGCAGGGCGGCTCGGGGGCAGGGCGGCTCGGCGGCAGGGCGGCTCGGCGGCTCGGCTCCCGGGCGGCTCGGCGGCAGGGCGGCTCGGCGGCCGGGCGGCTCGGCTGCAGCGCGGCTCGGCTGCTCTGCTGCTGGGCGGCTCGGCTGCGCTGCTGTTGGGCGGCTCGGCTGGGCCGCTGACGTAGCGAGGCGGCGGGGCCGCAAAGACGGGCGGCGGGGCCGCTGCAGAGAAGCGGCGGGGCCGCAGGGAAGGGCGGCGGGGCCGCAACGAGAGAGGCGGCGGGGCCGCAGCGAGAGAGGCGGCGGGGCCGCAGCGAGAGAAGCGGCGGGGCCGCGAAGTCGGGCGGCGGGGCCGCTGAGTAGGGCGGCGGGGCCGCAGTGAGAGGCGGCGGGGCTGCAGCGAGAGAGGCGGCGGGGCCGCGAAGACGGGCGGCGGGGCCGCAGTGAGTGGCGGCGGGGCCGCAGCGAGAGATGGCGGCGGGGCCGCGAAGACGGGCGGCGGGGCCGCAACGAGAGAGGCGGCGGGGCCGCAGGTAAGGGGCGGCGTAAAGCCGCGGGAAGGGCGGCGACGGGCCGGGAAAAAAAAGGGGCGGCGCGCCGCAGCCGCTATGGCGGCTCGACGCGACCGTAAGGGCAGCACTACGGGCCGCTAGGTGCGACTCGACGGGCCGCTAAAAAAAAAAGGGCAGGCGCGACTCGAGGCGCGTTTCGGTGGGCCCAAGGAACAGTCCCTAGGAGGGGACCTGCTCTGATTCCATGTGATAATGAGAATGAGAATGAATGAACTATGAATGAAGTGAGTACATATAGCAAACCCTAATTGGGTTGTACCCCCTATGGGATACCCCACTATGGCCTACACAACAGCATAAGCTATATATATGGTCTGACACGCGACTGTGGCAGCAGCATCTGAACAGGAAACTGATAGAAGTTGGGTTCCGACAACTGCCGCATGATCCCGGAATATATCGACTAGACGACAAGGGGAGCTACGCGCTACTCGTGGCATACATGGATGATATTCTCTACGTAAGTTCTTCGGCTTCCTTGGGTGATCGCATCGAAACAGATCTGAAGAAATCCCTCGACTTAACCGTCTCCACTGAAGTAACCCAATTTCTTGGGTTAAACGTTTCGCGAACCTCCTCCGCCATTCACCTCACAGCATCGAAGTATGCTGAGTCACTCGCTAAGCGTTTCAAGATTTCTACAGATTACGTCGCTACACCGTATCGGTCTACACCCACCGGGCACATCCTAAACAACACCAAACTTTCGGCAGCTGGTTTACAATTGTACCACCAGCAACTCGGGTGTCTTCTCTTCGCAGCAGTCACGTGCCGTCCCGACATTGCTTACGTCGCAAGCTATCTCGCACAATTTTTACGCTGCCCAAAAGAAGAACATCACCTCGATCTTCAGCGCGCTCTACACTACTTTGTCGCAACACCAACAGTTGGGCTGATTTTCAACACAGGAAAACCGACCGACAAAATGTACCTCAGTGGATATGTTGACGCAGACCACGCTGGTGACACGTCAGATCGTCGGTCACGAACAGGCTACATTTTTCGTCTCGAGCCAATTGGCCCGATCTCGTGGAACTCATCGAAACAAGAACTCGTGTCACTTTCCTCGGCTGAATTAGAATTCATTGCTGCGTGTGCTGCAACTCGAGAAGGACTATACTTACAGGAACTGCTCGACGAAGCAAAGTTCGTCACGCCGAATCAGTTCACGTTGCAGTGCGACAACCAGAGTGCGATTACCATCGCCAACAAACCTGGCTTCGTCAATCGCACGAAACACATTTCACTGCGTTACTTCTTCGTCAAAGATGCGATCGACAAGGGGAGGATGCACCTTGTCTACTGTCCCACTGGTGACATGGCAGCTGACTCACTTACCAAGAAACTGACACGACAGAAATTTCACCACTGCAACCAGCTCAGCGGCGTTTCTGAGACAACCGGGTAACTACACCGAACTCCTAGAAGTGAAGGGGAGTGTTGAGATAATATGAAGACTTAAGCACTTCAAGGATTCGTGTAGTACAGTGCGAGACTTCGCACGAAACAGTAAAGTACCGATAGGATGACGTCAGCAAAGCGCTACGCGCCCTAGGATGACGTCAGCACGTAGCTATAGGCCTCGCGGAAAGTCACGTACCGTTTCAGAACAAGAATAGCACAGCACAGTAGACGAACAGGTACTTTACTCTAGCTATATATTCTGTATGTTTGTCATTTTATAATATATCTGATTTCAGAGACATTGATCCTGAAACATATCACTACATGGGCTTTCACTAGTCCAGACAAAGCCTCCTTAACTGGCTTTAACTCATACAAGACTTCCACTACGACAGAAAGCTACCATCCTAAGTATTACGATCCTATTCAATCATTTCAAATTCTAACAGCGACAACTTGGGACACCAACCACCCAACCACCATCGACCACGCGGGATCTGAGAGCCTACGATCCCACGCGATCAAGGGTTGAAGGTGCACCACGTGCATACCAAACCTTGTTTGCGAGAATTATTTGGCCGCCTAACGACGAAACGAAACGCAAGCAAGGTTATAAACGAAGAGGTTACGAAATTATCTTTGAAACATGCGACGCCCTGACCGCGTCTGATTGGTGGTTGGGGATCGGGATTGCAAAATTGCGGATGGTGCATCAATGGGGGGTGCCGTTGGGTCGCATGGGACCCCCGAGCACGCCCAACCCCACCGGATTCCTGCGGAGAGTACTCGACAAAGGTAGTGATCTAGACTACAGGGGGGTTGGCACGAACTACTAGGAGTGATCGTAGCTTTGCTTAGTTCCTTAGTGCTTGCACATTCATGGGAGAAGTTGGCAAGAGTTTGCACTAACAAAGTTGGAATTACAAAATGATTGAACTAGCAATGACAACAATGACTACATCAGGCACCTAGCTGTCAAACTGTTATGATCTTTGTATTGTGTAGGCTGTAATGGGGTAGCCTATAAGGGGTACAACCCAATCAGGGTTAGTACTTGTACTCAGTTTCTTGTCAATGCATTCATCCTTGTTCAGTATTCTGACATGGTATCAGAGTGGGTCCTGTTCCAAGACAGTTTTTTAAAGCCCACCGAATAGTTCCCTGCTCGTAGCACGTTACCCTGCTCTCTGCGCCCTACCCTGCCCGTCGCGCTGCCCCACCAGTCGCGCTGCCCTGCCCTGCCCGTCGCGCCGCCCTGCTGGCCGCGCGCCGCCCTGCTGACCGCGCACCGCCCTGCTAACTGCCACGCCGCCCTTCCCCGCCCGTCGCGCCGCCCTGCTAGCTGCGCGCCGCCCTGCTAGCCGCGCGCCGCCCTGCTGGCTGCCGCGCCGCCCTGCACTGCCTATCGCGCCACCCTTCTGGCCGCCCGCTGCCCTGCCCTGCCCGCACGCCACCCTGCTGGCCACCGCACAGCCCTGCCCTGCCCGCGCGCCGCCCTGCTAGCCGCCGCGCTGCCGTGCCCTGCCCGCACGCCGCCATGCTGGCCGCGAGCCACCCCTTTCCTGGCCGCGCGCAGCCCTACTCGCCGTGCGCTGCCGTTCCTGCCCGTGCGCCGCCCTGCCCTGCCCTGAGCGATTTCCTAGTGCACGCGCGCCACCCTGCTCGTCACGCGCCACCTTGCTCTGCCTGCTATGGCTACTCTCAGCGTTCTCACATTCGATCCTGAGGGCCGTCCGATCCAGTTCGATACGTGGCTCGATGACTTACAACTGTACCTACTGAGCGATTCTAAAGACATCTTTTCGTTGTTTGACCACACGTCTGGAGCCTCTCTCGCCCCTCTCGACACAGCTGACAGTGCGAATCGCTCACAGTGGCTTACCCGTGACACTGCTGCTCGCTTAGCCGTTCGCAACCACCTGCCGTTAGCCGAGCGCGCTCAATTTGGCCAGCACAAGACTGTTAAAGCCCTGTACGACGCAGTAGTCGCTCGTTACTCTTCCCCTGCCACTGCTGCTCTCGGCCGCCTTATACTGCCCTACATTTTTCCTGAGCTGTCAGCGTTTGCCACAGTCGAGGACCTCATCACCCACCTTCGCACTAGCGACACTCGCTACCGTGCTGCCCTCACAGCCGAGTTCCTAGACAAGAACCCGCCCCCGATGTACATCACTCTCTACTTCATAGTCACCCGCCTCCCTGACTCTCTTAGCGCAGTCAGGGACTACTTTCTCGCACTTGACCCCACAGACCTCACTATCGACCTGCTCGAGAAGCACCTCCTTGCAGCTGAGACTAGCGTAGTCGCTGTAGGTGCTGCTCGTGGCACTCCTCGCACACCCTTCTTTGAGGGGTGTTCCCCCTCCCACCTTGCCCCCTCCTACACTTCTGCTGCTGCTGTTGACATCATTGGTACTCAGGAGGTCGGGGCTGATTCTGCTCCTAGTGGGAAGCGCCGCAGCGGCAAGGGCAAGGGAGGCAAGAGTGGTGGAGGTGGCAGTGGGGGTGGTGGCGGTGGAGGCGGTGGAGGCGGTGGAGGCGGTGGAGGTGGCGGAGGTGGCGGTGGGAGTGGTGGCAAGAGTGGGGGCGTCGGTGGCGCCAGTGGTGGCACCGGTGGGAGTGGTGGTGGCGGTGGTGGCGGCAGTGGTGTCGGTCAGGGTGGAGGTGTTCAGAGGGGAGGTTCTGGCGGTGGCCAGAGGCAGCAGCAGTAGCGTCCGAGCGAGACCCCTACACCCTAGCAGCTTCGTGAATGGCTTGCTCAGCGTGGGGCAGCTGGGGGTAGTGTTCGCTGCCCGTATGTCATTCGCATAGGTGACTGCGCTGGTCAGACATTCGTGAAGTTTCACACACAGCAGTGCTGCTTCTCCCGCCTAGACGACACTTGGCGCGCAGAGTTTGGCGACGAGGCTGAGCGCCCCCGCTGGCTAGAGCTGCTTAGGTCTGGTGTTAATATCTTTGCTCTTGACTATGATGCTATCCTTGCTGCCATGTATGCCTTGACTGTTAGTGCCGAGGGTGACGGTTACCTGTGTGTGCCGCCCGACCCAGGTATAGAGGCTGCTGCTCTAGGTGCTAGTGAGTCTGCTCTCCCTGGTACTACGCCTGCTGAGGCCTTGCACACCTTCACGCTTGACTCAGGTGCTTCCCGCTGTTTCTTTCGCGACAGTACCACACTGAATCCACTCCCTGCACCTGTTCCAGTCAGACTGGCAGACCCCTCGGGGGGGCCCATTTCTTGCCCGTTCCTCCACTGTTCTCCCGTGTTTGGCGGTTCCGTCCGGCTCACTGTCAGGTCTTCACCTCCCCTCGTTCTCTACGAACTTGGTGAGTACCGCTGCCCTCCAGGATGCAATGGTCACTACCACCACTCCTGGGGGTCAGCGTGTGTCGATCTGCACGTGTACACGGACGGGCTGTCACCTGGCCACGTTCACCCGACGGCCTTGGTCGAGTCTGTACACACTGACTACTGAGCCTGCTCTGGTAGCTGCTTCTGGTCAGGTGTCCGTGTCAGGTCAGGTAGTCGCCCCCTGTTTGTGCCGCCTCCTGCCGCACCAGACTCTCCTTTGGCACCACCGCATTGGTCACCCCTCCCTGCCACGCCTTCGTGGCATGCACTCCCGCCTCCTTGTTTCTGGTCTTCCCAGGTCTCTGCCTCCCCTCCCGCCCTCGCCTGCCCCGCTCTGCCTTCCTTGCGTCGAGGGCGGTAGCGCGCCGCTCCTCACTCCTCCTCGTTTCCCCCGACGACTGCTTCCTTGCAGACTCTCCACATGGACGTGTGGGGCCCAGCCCGCGTCAGTGGACAGGGCCGCGAGTGCTACTTTCTGCTGGTTGTTAACGACTACTCGCGTTACACCACGGTCTTCCCCTTGCGCAGCAAGGGGGAGGTCCCTGATGTCTTGATCTCTTGGATCCGCGCAGTCCGTCTCCAGCTTCGCGAGCGGTTCCACCAGGACCTTCCTGTCCTGCGTCTGCAGTCTGACAGAGGTGGTGAGTTCTCCTCCGACCTCTTACGGGACTTTTTCGTGGGGAGGGCATCTGCCAGCCGTTCACGCTTTTGGTCTCTCCGCAGCAGAATGGGGTTGCTGAGCGCCGCATTGGCTTTGTCATGGAGGTGGCTCGTACCTCCATGATCCATGCGGCTGCTCCCCATTTTGTGTGGCCGTTTGCGGTCTGGTACGCTGCGCATCAGCTCAACCTCTAGCCACGTGTCTCCATGCGGTCTGGTACACTGCGTTGGACGGGGAAGGTTGGCGATGCGTCGGTGTTCCGGGTCTGGGGCTCTCATGCCTTTGTCCGCGATACTTCCGCGGACAATCTCTCCTCGCGCGCCATTTCCTGTGTCTTCCTTGGCTTTCCCCCTGACGCGCTTGGCTGGCAGTTTTACCACCCCACCTCGCACCGTGTCCTGCCCTCTCAAGATGTCACCTTTGACGAGTCGGTTCCCCTTTACCGTCTCTTCCCCTACCGCGCTGCCCCTCTCCCCCCCCCCCCCCCGCCGCTCTTCCTCGCTACAGGTCCCCCTCCGGTAGACCCCCTCCCCCCTCAGGGTCCTGCTCCCTCAGTTGTGTCTCAGGTAGACCCACTCCCCTCGGCTGAGCCTGTCGAGGTCACTATAGACTCTGGTGCTGCTGGGGGTGGTGCTGCTAGGGGTGCTGCGTCTGGGGGTGCTGAGCCTGCGGGTGTGGAGCCTGGGGGTGCTGAGCCTGAGAGTGCGGAGCCTGGGGGTGCTGAGCGTGAGGGTGCAGAGTCTGGGGGTGCTGAGCCTGAGGGTGCGGAGCCTGGGGGTGCTGAGTCTTAGAGTGCGGAGCCTGGGGGTGCTGAGCCAGAGGGTACTGAGTCTAGGGGTGTTGAGCTTAGGGGTACTGTGTCTGCTGGAGGTCCTGCAGATGCCTCGCCACTGCAGTCTCGCCGGCGGGAGCCTCTCTCACCGCGGCAGCTGCACGAGTGGTTTGCTCGGCGCACACACGTTAGGAGTGGCGCTGCTGGAGCTGGAGGCCCCGCCGCTGGAGGCACTGGAGCTGGAGGCGCTGAAGCTACTAGTCCTGGAGGTGCTGGAGTTACTGTTGGTGCTGGAGGCACTGGAGATGGAGGTACCGGAGGTGCTGTAGATGCTGGTCTTGGATGTGCTTTTACTGGAGGTACTGGAGCTGCCGGAGCTGGTGGTGTTGGAGGCACTGGAGCTAGAGACCTTGGCGCTGGATGCGTTGGAGCTGGAGGCGCTAGAGCTGGAGGCACTGAAGCTGGAGGTACCGGAGGTGCTGTAGCTGCTGGTCCTGGAGGTGCTCGTACTAGAGGTACTGGAGCTGCCGGAGCTGATGGTGTTGGAGGCGCTAGAGCTGGAGACCCTGGAGCTGGAGGCGCTAGAGCTGGAGGCACTAGAGCTGGAGACCCTGAAGCTGGAGGCGCTGGAGCTGGAGGCGATGGAGCTGGAGGCCCTGGAGCTGGAGGCGCTAGAGCTGGAGGCACTGGAGCTGGAGACCCTGGAGCTAGAGGCACTTGAGTTGGAGGCGCTAGAGCTGGAGGCCCTGGAGTTGGAGGCGCTGGAGCTAGAGGTACTGGAGGTGCTGTAGCTGCTGGTCCTGGAGGTGCTTGTACTAGAGGTACTGGAGCTGCCAGAGCTGATGGTGTTGGAGGCGCTGGAGCTGGAGACCCTGGAGCTGGAGGCGCTGGAGCTGGAGGCACTGGAGCTGGAGACCCTAGAGCTGGAGGCGCTAGAGCTGGAGGCGATGGAGCTGGAGGCCCTGGCGCTGGAGGCGCTGGAGCTGGAGGCACTGGAGCTAGAGACCTTGGAGCTAGAGGCGCTTGAGCAGGAGGCGCTGGAGTTGGAGGCCCTGTAGTTGGAGGCGCCGGAGCTGGAGACGCTGGAGCTGGAGGTGCTAACACTGAGGGTGCTGGAGCTGGCGGTACTGGTGCTGGAGGCACTGTGCTGCGGCGACCGTTTTTCGTTCCGCCGCCGCCGTCGTCTCTGCCGCCACCTGACTCGGTACTTCGCCAGGTTCTTAGTCTCCCGTCTTCTAACGGCCTTACTTCTCCCTTACTGTGTCCACCGCCTGACCAGTCGCAGCCATATTTACAGCCAGACTCCTCACTGCGTGCTCCTTCTCCTTACATTGAATAGACCGACTCTCTTACAGCCAGACTTCTCACTGCGTCTCATCCTGCCTCGCCTGTTCGTGATGTTCGCACTGGTCGTCGTGTTCCTCGTTCGCGTCCTCCTCCTGTCCCCGGCACTCAGATTATGGCACTTCGTCCTTCCTCTGTTCCATTGCGAGTTCCTCTACCGTCTCCTCCTGCGTCCTCTCTTGCTGACGGTCCGGACCCTGAGTCTAACTTAGTTCGTGCTGCCAGTCCTACTGTCACACGTCTTCTAGCCACTGTTGTCACCGACCCTTTGTTTGAGTCCACTATTACGTCTGCCCTAGTTGCTGAGCTTGTTGACTTTGGTGCTGCGTGTCATCTCTGTCGAGATGAACTAGCGTGAAGAAAATTGACTAAGGAATCGAATGGACAAACAAGATATAGGAAACCCTAGCAAGAGTTCTAGCACAAGTGTAACAAAATGTACAACACATAGACTAACATAAACAAACTATATAAATATAGTTTGACACACCCCCATAGTCTAGGTAACAGTAGTCCTGTGGAAAGCAGGACATATCTTAGGGTGGATCTCAATGACACACACAGTCTGAGAGTAAACAAGGGTCACATGACCAATCAGCAAGAACAAGCAAGGGTCACAAGACCAGTCCACAAGAACAAGACAAATCTCAGGGTGGAGCTCAAAGTCACCACACACTCCGAGAACAAGCAAGGGGCTACAAGGCCAGTCCACATACATATATATAGCAAATATAAGGAGATGCAATAGTACAAGGCAAGCAGGACAAAGCATCGCTACGTAAGCAAGTGAGGGCGGGCCGTCACAAGGCCAAGCTGGGTGCAGAAACGCTGGTGGTCACAAGGCGGCAACGCCTTGGTGAAAATATCTGCAGTGTTGGCCTCAGAGACCACACGTACCACGCGGGCCTGGCCACGCTGCTGAAACTCGCGGAGAAGGAAGTAACGAAGCTGGTTGTGCTTCGCCTTCCCAACCAGTCGGGGCTCCTCGCACAACAGGACAACAGACCTGTTGTCAGCGAACAAGACCGGGGGAGAGCAAGGCCACTCACCAAGGTCGGTGAGGAGGACAGACAGCCAGCGAAACTCCTGGGCGGCCATGGCCGCAGCGTACACCTCTGCCTCACAGCTGGAACTAGAGACTGACGACGCCCGAGTCGACCTCCACGAAACAGCTCTGGTCCCCGAGTTCTGCGTCGTCGGCCCACGACGAGTTCGAGTAACCTGTAAGTGTAATTGGCTGCTTCCCTCCAAGGACAAGTCCCATGCCTGATGTACTCGCCACATACTTCGCCACCCTCTTAGCGGCGTACCAGTGGGAAGGTCGGGGTCTCCTAGGCGCAACAAAGCGCGCAAGGACGCTAAGAGGGTAAGCTAGGTCTGGGCGAGTACAGGTCATCAGGTACATGAGACAACCCACCAGCTCAGGATATGGACCGCTGGACTCAAATGGCTCGTCCAAAGGTGGAGCCGTGAGTCCATGATCCACAGCAAGAGGGGTGGGCTGTACCTTGGAGAGCGGGAAGCGAAACCGCGTGAGGATCTGCTCGACCATATGCGACTGCGTCAGCGTAATGGTGCGAGCTGC